TGCATCTGAGTGGTGAGAAACGCATCGCGAGTATTATCGGATTATGACTCAAGATGTACAGAAGACTTCATCTTGTCAGCGTCTTCACCTAACGGGATTGTACTATATGCTTACTCTGGGTGTACTAAGGAGTTGTCTACTTCTGTGATTCTTATAGATTTACTCTTTCTCTTTTTAAACAATTCTGTCTACTTTACTTTATAACTCTTTTCTATTCACTTCCCCTTTGTATGCTGTTGCGAAATGTTGCAAGTTGGACGGATACACTTTTTTGCAAAACTCCACGTTGGTTTGTTTGTTTTGCTGCCTTTCACAACCAAAGTACATTATTTATTCATTCATTTTTGGTCAGTGTTTTTATGTTGCTTTTGGTTGATTGAAAAGAGCAGTAAACACTTTTTAAAACCTTGGTCAAAAAGGTTTGTTTTATTTTGGATAGAGTAAATTTATTTCGTAAATAAAACTTTATTGATGCATTCAATATTTTGTGGAGTTTATATTATATTAACATATGTTACTCAATTATTATTTCAATTATTCTTTTCCATAATAAGTATGCTTACTTCCCTCTTGGTCTTCTTAGCGTTCTAGTCTTCTGAAATGTGGTTTCAGTATTACATTTAACAGCTGATTTGCTGAAACAGTTAACTTTTTTAATTCACTTCTATATTATTCTATCAAATGACCTACAGATAAGGAGAATATGATAAGGAATTCAATTTATTCACTGTTCATCACTTAATATCTCTTTAGACTATACCATCTGTTTATTTTAGCTGCCTGAATGTCATATTCGGTACATTGCCTAACATTTTTACGGTGTACATCTTCTGTTTTTGAGAACATATGAATATAGTTTTGAAGTCACCTACAAACCTTCTCTACTTAGATATAATATAAGCAAGGAAAGTAAGTTAATCGATAAACTTATCCATCCGCTTGAACTAGGGGGACTGAGATATACGTAGCTGCCTACTCCAATGTTCAATATTAGGTGTGCTAAGATTAGTTTAGAAAAACGCTAGTTCTCCATCTCAAACTGTTTCGTGAATCGACTATTGGTTGCGATCTCTAAGTAAGTTTAAGCTACCTAACCGCGATCTTTAAGCTTTCTGAAATGAGTAGATCAAACTGCTCAGAAATATCATCTTTTCATCATCCTCAAAACTGGACAGTATATCAATTTTTATTGATCCATTCTCTCCCATTCCTGGTGATGTATTTCTGGTGGTGTTCATCTATTCTTTGAGTGATTTTTCCAAGTATATGGCGAACCGAAGCGATACACTCTTTGCGAGGTCCTACTTTCGTCTTTCTGTCTGTCTGTAAGCTCCTAGTTTTAGTACATAGTTTATTTTCATTTAAGTAACTGAGTCTTATCCTCAGGTGTTTTACAGCCTACTAACTATACAAACCTGCAAATAGTTACTGAGTTTATTTCAAAAAAATCTATTTTAAAACTTGAACATAGTTCATTTTGGAAACAAATGAGTTACGCTCAACTTAATATATACTACTGAAGCATGATGTGAAACCGTATTGGTAATCAATAAATAAAAGGTTATTGTTACCTTCATTTGTATTTTGCTTTGTATATTTGGGTGTAATATAATTTGGTGCTCTTGCCTATACCTGAATTATCTTGTTTCTCAGTTTTCCGAGCTGCTGAGGCCATTTCGATAATTCGGGATCCAACAACAACTGATTAGTCAATACAATTATCGTCCATTTCACACCAAATCATATACTGCAATATATCATAACCATATGTGCAAAGATAGACAGGTAGACCAGTTTCGGGTTCGAGTCCCAGTGGCGACACCACTCACTGGGAAGCAGGTACATCCAACTGATGAGTCGAAAACGGGACGAAACCCCTGTCCCGGACTCCACTGCACCTCAGTAGTAGCAACACTCTCATCAGTATATATATGGCAAATATTTACTACTTATAGACTTACCATTTCTTTTCTCTATTTTTCTTTAATGAAAAACCAATTGTTTGATGCATTACTGCTAATCTTGTCATTACTGTTCACATTAACGCCGACAGCTTTGAAAGATAACGAAAAAAATTAGGAGTAAATAAACCTGTTAACAGAATATCATTGGTTTATTTTTGCTTCAAATTTCTGTTCATCTTCAGTATTTCATACCCATATGTTCATATAATGGTTTATTGTCCATAATTCTGAACCTTATAGTCACACACTCACACATACATACTTATGCAGGTTCAGTTTTTTATCAGCAGCCTTTATAGTCGAAATGACTATGAATTCATTATGTGGGTCGTTATACAATAAAAGATTTAGTATTATGTTGCTGCAACCATGTAAATGTCCATGTTATGTACATTATGATTCAGTAAATGTATGTTTAATATAGGTATTTATAGAGTAGTGATGATGGTTAGTGACCTTTTATGAACTAACTTCAGAATACACCAACATGTAAACGTTTGTTTCTATACGGTGGATATTTTGTAAAAAATTATTATATTTTGAACCATTGGAAGGTGACTAGTAACCGTTGGTCTACATTTTTTTATTATTAGTGTTAGTCAGCAACCTTCAAGAAATTCGAATCTCCTCTGAAATTCAGACTAGTCTCATCTGTTACCTCAGTCAGAGATGATATTAGCCCTACTTGTACTCTACATTATATTTTATATAATGTGACCTAAAATATACGTATGAGCTGTTGAACAGTAACCTTTAGTTCTCACCATCGATAGTCGATTCATCACAAACAATACTACTCAACATTCATGTTCACCTCCTAATTATCCACATGCGAACAACCAAGCAGAAAAATTTTTGGATACAATCAGGAGTGCTTTAATTGGAAACGAGAAGGTTTCTCTATTTTCTGACATCATGCTGATTGGTACATAATCCAAATATTATCACATGAAAATCCACCAGCGGAGTGCATGTTTAAGCGCATGATATAAATCCTTTCTGACTCTATGCTCCCAGAAAAATGACTAGAAGATTTCAACCGTCAAAACTATAAAAGCCGTAAATGTAACTCAGACGATAATTTAAAGCAACTGGTCCCTTTGATAAATTTAAACAGCGTAACGAGAAGACGAAGATTATCTGAAACATGTGATGTATTAGCGCCATACATTTCTAACAATCTGATCACACATGGACTTGTCGAACTACTTATATGAAAATTTACTAAAAGGTCAATGAAGTTAATGGGAAACAGGCAGTAATTAGACAGTTTCAATATACTACCTTAATAAAATGCAGATTGGCACAGTCTCACGAATCACTGTATCTCCTTGATCTTCATTTCTGTTCTTGAATTAGACATTCTATGCCTATTTTCCGCCCCACGTGTTTGTGAGGCTGACAGACAAACAAAATCATTACAGAACCTAGCACACAAGTGCATCGGTTCAAGTTGCCACACTTCACAATAATATTCAAAGAACAAGTATATCGGTAAATCTGAGATCAAAGTAGACATAGGTGTATGTGAGAAGAGGGAGTTGTAGTATGAAAGTAATCACTGTCAGGATACATACAGCTCTTATTGCTTTATTCTTGAAACAGATTCATGTAAGAGACCGTTACGTACTGTTTTGCTATTTAGTGGCCTAGTCAATATGATAATCATAGCTTCTTTATCTGTTTTGAGATCTGGTTAGCAATTATTTCACTAAGATCAGTCAATGTATTAATGCAGGTTACAGAAGTAATAAACACTTCTGACCAGTTGATTTACTAAAGCTAAGCAACGTGTAGATGCATTTTAATGCTGATTGGTTGAGTAACATAATAGTTCCCCTTGTTTAAAATACCCACTTTTGGGCGAAGAAATTAGGACCATACTGCATCAAATTGATCGACCTCAGTTGACATATGGACTCGAATGCCAATGCCTCGATATTTCTTAATATTTATTGTCATCACTGAGTTGGCTGTGCCTAGCAGTAGAATCCAGGATGCACGCTTCGTTTTATTTGTGACTCATCATCTGGATGTACCTGCACCCCAGTGAGTGGTATTGTTCCCCCTGAGACTCGAGCCTAGTACCCATTGCTTCAAACACCAAAGCGTTATCCACTAGGCTATTGAGGTGTGACAGCCACCTCTTGTAAAATGAGTGTTAGTCACTACAATTTCCTCATATAGTTGTTATTCTTCGTTGTTATACTGGGGTCCAGGTACATCCAGCTGACGAGTCCCAAATAGGATGAAACGCGCGTCCTGGGTTCCTAGCCACAACCAAGTAAACTACGCTGTATTACTCTACAATAATAATAAGGCATATAAGCGAACAATATTGTTTTCAATTAGATCCTCTTCAGGCTTTACTCTAATACAAAAAACCTTTGTTTACGAAATTGCGATTTAATCGGAATGCGGCCGAAGAAGTTTTATATCAGAGACTGTCTAGAGCCATCAAGAGGACCTTCTACGCCGCACAACTCTGTCTGCCATTTTCCAGTCGACCAATTGTTGTTCCTCAGACAATAGATAAGGTATCTAGTTTTCCCATTTCTATGTGTGTTTACAAGTTTTGCTGCTCCTATGGAGAAAGCTATATAGGGCGTACTACTAGTTGTAAAGTAGGAGAAAATAAATCCCGCTTTTAATGGATTTTTAGACTACTCAATATTTAGATAGTGAAGCATCTAATTGAAAAATCAAGAGAATTTTGTAATTTCTTCTGTACAAAATAAAATCCATACAGTAAAGCCATGAAGGTACTAGCCAATTTCCTGTTTTAAGGATTCTGTTAGAAGTAGTTAAAAGGCTACATATGCATGTTTTCCCCTCATTATATGATTTGTCATTCATCAGTAATAAATCATTTTTTTCTCTTATAAAAGTTATACATTTGATTGCAGTCCCAGGTGTTTAGAAAGCTTATCAAAGGAGTCTGTTTATAGAGCTGTGTTCATCATTCTCTTACCAATATACATTTTATTATGATGATTAATTATAATTCATGTTTTGTTTGTTTCCATTTGATTTTAGTCAGTTTGGAGGAATTTATGGCTCTAATGACAAAAGAAATATAATACTGGCAGTTGTTGACTTACAGAAAGTGGAAACAACTTCGCCTTTTTTTTTACCCTGTACTCATTCAGTATAGTATTTAAAACAGTTTTATGTGTTTCTATAAATTTTTATATCCTTCTGTATGTATGTGTACAAGGATAGGTTGCTGTGACAGGGGTTTGATCTGTATTGTAGGTTTTTATCTCTCTGTTCGTTATTATTATTATTAATTATTACCATTATTGTTATTATTATTTAATACTTGGATGAGATAGCAAGTATATATTTCAAAACTTTATTAACTCCAATCCTCTCACTGTTCATATCTCACCTATATTTATGGTATACACTTGTATGCCCCACAGTGACTTGTGATTTCCTACAAATATACGTACACATTTTATTGATTATTAATTATATCTACTTCGTAAATTGTTGATATAGAGTTTATAGCAGGCACGTCTAAATGTACAAGCACTAACCATTGATTGAACTAGTGTCTATGTTTCATTCCATGAACCAAGTAATATGCAAATGTTGAAAATGTGTGCACATAATTATTGTGAAATGATAAGAATAAAATTATTGTTATCTCTGTATTGTATTTCTATGTTTGTTGATACTATCCCCACACTTTATGATTAGACAATCGAAACTTTGGTTATAAAGAAAAAACTGATGTTTATAACTTTGATGTAAACAAAACAAAGAATGATTCTGATCACAATCAGTTGTTGTTGACGTATACATGAGATACAGATTGTGTTATCTGTTATTTTTTGAAGTAGTATTCATCACGAACTGACATCAGTTTGGGAACCATTAAAAACCTGAGAGCACTGGACAGCTGTTTTGTCCTATTACGGGACTCCTCAGCAGTATGCACCCATGACCCGGCTAGGGGTCGAACTCAGAACCTTCAGGTTTCACGGTGGACGTGTTAGCCATTGAGCCAGTGGGTTGGAGTTCAATGGTTCACAGTCCCCAACTTCTGTCAATTCACGATACAGGGTCTTCAGTTGACATCTGCTTCCCTTCTGGCTGGTTGACCTCACAGGTCCCTAGCCGGGTCGTGGGTGTGCACTGCTGAGGAGTCCCACACTGGGACGAAACAGCTGTCCAGTGCTCCCAGGTTTCCAGTGGTTCCTCAACTTATGTCCATGGTGAATACTACCCAAAAAAAACTAAAATCCCCATTCATCTCAAGAATACATTATCTATTATTCTTTGGGGAAAATATTTTTCAACTAGATGGCTGGACGAAGCTGAATGAAGTTTTGAATATAAATTCATATTAGTGTTGCTTTATATTGTGGGAACGACACACTTGGTAGACATCATGGAGGTGCACTGCAATGGTAAATATATCCCATTTTTAATTAGTAGGTTACGCGTTTCTACTTATTGCCTACTTTGGTTACGATAACTTGGTGTTGTTGTCCGCTCTTGCGAAGCGCAGTACATATGATATATGACTTAACCTGATATATCAGTATGTACCTGGTTCACTAGGTTACACGAAGATCAATACTTTCGAAACACAACTCGCTTGCTATAGAACCAGCAGATAAACAGTAATCATGCTACGTATTGATTAAAAGAGTCGAATAACCTAGTGAGGTCGTGAATCATCATATACTGAAATGGTCATGAAGTGTGTTGTATATGCGTAACACAATGTCCAGTGTCATCATTGATAAGTTGCGTACGAAAGCATATATTTCCTAGTCTAAATTCATAGGGCAAAGAACATTTGTGTTTTAAGAGCTTACAGAATGTTTTAATGTCACTGACACCGATTAAAACATATCCACTCCTTCCCATTATCCTATTATTTGGCTATCCCCGATCCACTTATCGAGGTTTTGGCAACCAGTACCCTCAGTTGCCTACTACCCGGATGTACACAATGTGGCTGAGTGCGTTTTAAAACTATGTGGCTATAAAACATGAACATTAAAGTTTGTGGATGCAAGAATGCTTGAGTCATTCAACCACCGTTGTCGTCATATTATCAAATCGCCAAGTTAATAGTATAGAGATAAAGTATAAAATCACAATCAAGAGATTTAAGTCAGTTAATGAGTTTGTAAACGTACGTTAAAACAGGCGGTTGGGAAACATGCCGAGTCAGTGTTTAACCAGATGTACAATGTTACCTGGACTAGGTTTAGGTTTGTTAAATTTGTTGAGACTGAAACGTGGCATCGGTTTATGGAGTCTCAGACTGCTGATGTGAGACGTGTAGAGAAGTATAAGCCTTCATGATATTGGTTCGCATGACAACCGAGATAGATGGTTCTAAAACTCTAGGTGATATTGTTCGGGTTGAATAACAATGGTCCACATACATCTTCACATTACTGTCATCGTAAACATCACGCCATATTTCGTTAGTTGCTTTATCTCCTCTTCGTATGATATTCTACAACGTTTGGTCATATTTCTTTTGTCTTGTATCTTGTACTGATTTGAATTGTGGCAACGTGGACCTTCTACTCAGTATAGCCCGACCCTATGTTCATGTCGACTGAATCTTCAACAAATTGTTCTATCCCTCCTTCAAAATATACTACCTGTTTGCTACTATCAGCGCCTTTGTTCTTCTCCATTTGTTTTTTTGTTCAATTCCTGTTCCTGTGTGCTAGTGCGCAGCATGCTTAGATGGACCGATCAAAAACTGTCATTTCCTACATATAGACTTCAGAATTAAAACTTACCCTGATAGAATTACAGACAGAAAAATAGATGCAAAGAGCATAAATAGATGTTTCGCATTCCAATAACTGCTCTAAAAACATCATTCAGAAAACTGAAAACTAAAATAAAAATCACATGATTAGCCTTGCAACAGCATAATAATTCTACCTGTCGGTGGAGGTATGACTGAAGAATTAGGAAGGGTTCTAACGAAGCATTGAACTAACACCTTCAAAAAGACAACCAACACTTTGGAATGCATCAGTCCCTATAAAAGACAGAATTCCTCTTAACTCTACATAGGATTGTATCTACTAGTTAGGCTGTATCGATGATTTTGATGCCTATTATATTGGAGAGTCATCCTACGAAATCTTCACTCATGCTAGAGAGCATGTAAGCAAAACAAAATGGCCACTAAACAATCCCGGAGAACTTACAAATCAAAATCTGCAATTGTTATCCATAATATCTTTAATAGCCACGCAACTGGCATTGAAAACATCAAAATGATTAATAAAGAATTTTAAAAGTATGAGGAAAAAATAATAGCTGAGATATTTCACATAATGTTGAATCCTATCCAACCAACTTGGATAGTATATCCAAAATAACGCGTATACACTAACCGTAACTAAAATAACATAGAAACATAAACAAACTGAATTCTTCATTCATATTACTTTTCTCACATCTTTATATCATGGACTAATAATTGATGAAGATAACACTCAGTCCCAACTCGTTTTCATTTTTATGTGCATTTATGAATACTGTAATTCTATTTATTTCCATTTAATATTAAAACACAATAACTAGTACATATTTTATTCCCTGAAGAAGCAGTTTCCAAGGGATCAGTAGACGTTAGAAATTCATCTTTCTACCTCATTCAAATTTTACAAATACATTTCCTTTATATATCAATTCCACGTTGTTTTCCCCTAGAGGTCAACGAGTAATTGACCATTCTTTCATCTTATGACACTCATCTTTAATACACAACGAGTTATTCTTCGCTGCTTAACTAAACACTCAATTTTAACTAACCTCTGAAGAGTTCATGCAGATCCCAATGAAAGAAATTGTGAACCTCCACATTCTTGGTAGTATTGTGTCCTCTGAGCTGAGTTGTTTATTCACAGAGCTTCCATCGTCTTTCTAGACGACATCATCAGCACTAACTCCAATATAAAGTGAGCTGTCAATATCTCTCCGTGAGTGAGTTAGTAGCTTGCTCTGACGAAGTGATCTGTGATTGGTTGTTCCCTTCATTTGTTGTGTCATTGACCGAGTAGATTTTCCTGTTGACTGTTCCCCTGCTTCACCTCTGACCTTTCTGTCGTTTACCATTTCTCTCATTGTTTGATAGATTGGGTCTATGTCTATACATCTTTTGATTGCTGACTGACTGACTGATTGATTGACTGACGTGATTGCTAAGCTTCTAGGAATTCTCTGATATTCTTTGTGTTTCCTCTCTCCGTCCAAGATTTCTACATTGTCAAAATTGAATCCATGTCCATAGTTGTTATCCACATGGATTGAAATGAGTGATGAAATGTGGTGACGTTTACTAGCCAGTTGGTGCTCATGTAGACGAAGGTGAAGAGGTCGACCACTTTGTCCAATGTGGTGTTGACTACAGTTATTTCAGTTGATTTTGTAAATGATGTTCGCTTTGTCTTCTCTGGTTGTTGCATCCTTTGATCTGCATAATAGTGTTTGGAGGGAATTTGTTGGTTATGAGCCACACCAATTCGACCAAGTGGTCTCAGCAATCTCGTCATGATTTCTGATATACTCTTTATGCATGGTATAGTGATGCGTTTGTTGATTTCTGTCTATGGTTTTATGGTTGATGATGTACGTGATAGACATATTCTGGTGAGGTTTCGTGTGTAACCATTCTTCTTTAGGATGGACATCAGTTAATTTTCTTCGTTTCTGCGTGAAGTTGTTGTACTGCAGTGTGTTCTCACTCTTTTCATCAACAGAGTCTGCACGTGACTGATTTTGTGTGTTGTGGGGTTGTTGCTATTATAGTTGATGATTTGCTCAGTGCGCGTTAGTTTCCTGTACACTTGGGTTTCGAGTTTTCCGACATTTGTCCTACTGACTAGAACATCCATGAATGGTAGTTGGTAGTTGTTTGACTCTTTCTCCATTGTGAATTCGATATCATTGAGAACGTTGTGTTGATCAAACTGTGAGTGTTTTCTATATCATATTTGTTAATGATGACAAAAGTGTCGTCCATATAGCGAATCCAAATGTTTGGTTTAATCACAGGTGGGATGATGACTTCCAGTCTCTGCGTCACTGCTTGTGCAATTATTCCGGATATCGGTGATCCGATTGGAGTTTGTTTCATCTGTTTGTATATTTTGTCATTGAAATGGAAGTATGTTGTCATACGAAGGTTGATGAGTTCCATCGGACTTGAACATTTAAGCTTTGTGAGTATTGGAAGGTTTTTGTCTTCATTGAGCAGGAGAGATATAGTTTTGTTGGCCGATTGTGGTTCGATAGATGTGTCTAGTGCTGTGACATCGAAATCTACCGTTAATTCGTCGTTTTCTATGTTAATGTTTTCGATCTTTTCTAAGAATTAGGTTGGTGTCTTGATTTGTAAACGCTTACCATTTTTATCAGTGCATACAGCTAAAGAAGAAAGGAGATTGTAACTACTTGTCAGAAATGAATGACAGTACAATTGAGTAGTTGAAAAACTATTCATCTATGAGAAATGTCAGCTTGAACTGTGCGCTTTGAAAATTGTTCACCTTATTTATGTAATTCAGCTAGCCGAACGAAAAGAACCTTACAGTGTTTAGATGATTCTGAATAGTTTCAAACTACTCAGGTTGCTCTGTAGTGTATTTCAAATTAATCATTTACGTATATGTGTTGTTCAAGTGAGCATTAATCTTTACGAACTATTTCGAGTTTTAAATGTTAGAGAACATCTGTGACTCAAAATATTGATTCTCTTGTAGAAGTGTCCTTTAG